AGCTTTGTCGACCCACCACATTGAATGAAGGTCGGCAATAATTTATCATCTCTTTCCAAGCGGGATCATCTGCTTTGATGCAACCTCAAAGACTAAGGAAATACTTTGTAATCGGACCTCTCCGAATACAACAGGATCAAATACTGAATTATCTCTATCGACTTGTTCTTCAAAGTTGCTAAGAATCATCCTCTCCTCTCTTGAGGGATATGATGACAATAATATCCAATATGCCTATTCAAGTGAGTTGTCCTTTCCCCGACACGTAAGACAACTGGAGCTTGCAATACTTGCACACACGACCTTCTCAATTCCATCAACGATTTCCGAGTCAACATAAGCCCAAACTTTAGCCCTCTTTTTCCCTCGGCCCTTTGGACCGATCAAGTGGAGATAGCATCAAGACTATCCTCAACCTGCTGCCATTTGCTGATGAAACCCTCTCCATAATATCACACTCGGACTAATCAATTAGAGTCTCCTCAACCAATGAATGACAATCAATTAGATATGATACTAAAAGTAGAGGTTTAACAGCAAAATTGATGTCGAGTCATGGATCAAGTTGGGTGCAAACGGTGCTTGACGTCGTGTGTGAGTGTGACGAATGCTCTGCAATTGTTCTCCATAGGAAAGATAAAAGCTGCAGAAAAGCTATTGCTTTCTGCCGTTGTTTTAGTGTGATTCTCTATCCTAGGAGTAACTCATTTACGATGTGTTTACCGTGTAGCATTACGCCTCACGGCAAACTGAAATAGTACCATTCATAATCGACTGAGCAGTCTGGCGATATAAAACACCATATAGATAAAATCATATTCTCGCCCAATTGAGAATCAGATTCAGGTTTACAATAACACTTCTACCTTTTTGTTACGCAGTTGTCAAGTTTCGTAGAGAGAGGCGTAACGTAAAATTTGGGAATTGCAATGCCACACAAATTTTAATCTATTATACGTAATTAGCAATACAAGACAAGATATCCGTAATGAACTAGAGCAATAATCGATGAAGCGTTGCAAATTTCTCGGACACTTGCCAAGGAAAATTCAGAGAGTCAAGCTCATTAAGGAATTAGCATTCAGTGTTTAGAATCTCCGGTCTCTCAATCCCCTCATCAACTACTTCAGATCGTACAAAGAGAACTCCGTAACAAAATAGGTTTGGACAAAGAAAATTTTTGAGAAGATTGACATAATCACAAAAATTCAGTTTCCACGAAAATATTCTGCACACAAGTTTAGGAAATTGGGTAGGCAAGGAAAGAAATACTCGACAATTAGTAATAACAAATGTAATAACTCAACGCACGTAGATTTCACGAAATTGAAAGAAGGCTTTGCTAGCTTCCCGAGTCAACCACAACATATCATTGTGCTAAACTAATCAACAATCACGTGCCATGATTTACCTTAAAAAGAATCATTATGCCATGACAACATCACTAATCAAGAGCAAGACAAGAGTCCGAATATATCAGTAAATGAGTTAGCATATAGAATCACACTAGTTCGGATCCCTTATGCTTCCACCTCAATGCTATCCTGTATTGATATAAGGAACACATAGCAAGAGAAAACACATGTTCAAACCGGATTGAACAAACAAGCAAATCGAATTCCATGCCATCTGCGATGCATTATCAATTCACCATACTAAAACGCTTAAACGGCAACCATTGTTTGCTCGCATTTCAGAAAAAAAGCGGAGACAACAAAGATGTAAATCGAGAACACCGGAAAGTAGTATGCGTGTTTCAAAGAATCCAAGCGAAGACGTGTGATTTCGACAGCACTAACTCTGAATATTGCAATCAAGAATTATCGCAATCTGAATATTGCAATTCAAAGTGAGTCAAGTCCATTAAGGAGCATTCAGACTTAGCTAGAATCACCGGTCTCTCGGTCCTCTCATCAACTACTACTAGTCTATTAATGCTAGTGGCACCAAAGCTATTAGCTCTCCTCTTTTGCTTCATCGTCTCATTCTACTTCATTGGTGATTGGGCAACATCGAACATTGGCGTTTTTTCTATGCATCGATGGACAAAAAAATTAAAAAAAAACATTCAGATGAAACAGGGGATCTGATCGGAGAAATGCTCACCTTAGCTTGTGGAGGTTGAAATGATCTTCAAGATATCCGTAGTAGAGCTCCATCATAACATGCTCAAAATGATCTCCCTTAAATCAATACTTATTACTGATCACCTCACCGCATGTCATCAAACAAAGTAGTAGTTCATTTACCAAAACAAAGAATAATAGCTGAAGGATTCGTGCAACTTGAAGGTTCAAAGATCTACTCTTAGGTTGTCTAGTGTTGAATGAACATGGAAGAAGATATGGTCTTAGAAAATACTCTTAAGATACGATCATTTAAAAATACAAATGTTTGATCACTTACTTTGATTGGTGATTGCTTTATTCGGGTGACAATATAAAGATTCTCGTAAACATGGGTTCATAAGTGCTATTCCAGACTTATCGGAGAAGCCAATATGATTGGCTATTCGTTTTGTATACTTGCAGTAATTTGCGGTCATCCGAGTAAGAAGGCAACAACAAATTGAGCATGATTAACTAAAGTTCAAACAATCATGAATCATATTTAGAAGAACACAGCAACTGAGAAGCTAACATGTGTTAGACCCAGAAACCATGCCTTATTGCTTTCAAGTTTCAACCTAGCAGGATTGCAGGAACCAAGAGATAAACAAGCAATATTTGGCAAGCTCCAAAGCAGCAACCACGAAACGGCCGGCAGCTTAGGCTAGGTGGTAGAGGAGCGCCGGCCCCTGCCGAACCGGGGCGGGGCCTCACACGGCCCCCCCGAACCAAGTATACCAAAGAGATAGATAGAGGATGGATTAGTTGTTACCTTGTGGACTTGGCAGCGGAGAGGCGCCCTGCGGCGCTTGCCGACGGATGAAGAAGCGATGGGGCTGAGGAATCATTGCTACCGCCGCCACGAGGAAGCGATGGCGACGGATGGAGAAGCGATGTCACTGATGGAAGGATCTCGGACACCGAATCGCTGCTGCTGCGCCCGCCCGCCCGCCGCCTCCTCTTCCTCAACTCCTGCGCCGCCGCCGCCCTCGGCTCCCAAGACCCGCCCCACTCGGCCGCCCCTCGATCGAGGCAAAATCCGTTTTCAGATCCTCGGGCCGACCACATTCAATGATCCGTGCGACGACTGGGCCGTATCTACGGCCCAGCCTTTTTACAAGCTAATCCAATCCAACTCGATCTTTTGTTTACATGGCCCATATGCAATCCGTAAAATTAGGCCCGTGAGTTTGGGGGCCCTTTCGGCCTTTGGGTTTACACGATCCATTCCCAGGTTTAGGCGCAGCGCAGGGAAGGGACAAAGGCGTCGCCGTGCAAAGTTGACAGTTTCCGCCGCCACATCTGCGCCTTGCAGCTCCACGACATGTGCTCATAACTGATGGCTCATGTGCCTCTTCTCACAAGTGACAAGGAAACCAACAAACACGGGCGTAAATGGAGCTTGCGCCGAACCTGCGTGCGTTATTGTTGTTTGGAAGAAGGCCACGTTACCCCCTCAACTCCTGTGAAAGTCCGCTTTTCTCTCCTCAATTTTAAAATCGGGCAAAACAGCTTCCTCAACTTTTAAAACCGTTCCCTCAACTCTTGTGAAAGTCCGTTTTTTCTCCCTGAATTTTAAAATCGGGCAAAACAACTTTCTCAACTTTTAAAACCGTTCATCTTACCTCTTGACCCTGTTATAAGCAGTTTTGAAGACGGTTTTATCTTTTTCTTATTTATTTATTTCGGTTGAATATTTGAAAAATCATAGTAAATCAAAGAAAAATCATAAAATGGAAGATTCAATTTTGTTGGACTCCACATGAGTAGATCTATACAATGAACATATAATATGGTATGCTTTAGTACAAAGTTTTTCGGTAACTTTAGATATATTCTTTTCTGTAATTAAATGGAATAATTCATAGTTGCAGTTTCTATGGTCCAATTGTGGTAATTTTTTTATGGTGGGCTAATTATTGTTTGCTTAAACTGTAATAAAAATTTTATACTCATTGGATCATGTATAACTTAGTTATAGATTTTATTTAGGATTATGCTTGTTAAATATAAATAAATCTATAACTAAGCTATACATGATCCAATGAGTATGAAATATTTACTACAGTTCAATTATATAATAATTAGTCCACCATAAAAAAATTCATCACAATTGGACCATAGAAACTGTAGCTATGAACTATTTTAATTAATTACGAAAAGCATAGATCAAAAGTCACAAAGAAAAACTTTGTACTAAAACATATCATATTATATGTCCACTGTAGATCTACTCATGTAGAGTCCAACAAAATTAGATTTTCTATTTTATGATTTTTCTATGATTTACTATGATTTTCAAAGATTCGGCCAAATAAATAAAAAAAAAAAATAAAACCGCCTTCAAAACTGCTTATAACAGGGACAGAAGATAAGATGAACGGTTTTAAAAGTTAAGGGAGGTGTTTTACCTAATTCTGAAGTTCAGGGAGAAAAAACAGAATTTTACGAAAATTAAGGGAAGTAACGTAGATTTTTTCCTTGTTGTTTTCCGTGCGAGTTGCTGTCGACCCCGCGGCCCGCCTCACGGTGTTGGGCTCTTTCGCCCAAGTGGGCTAGAGCGTAACCGGACAGCATTCGGCCTGCACTCTACTTGCTCGACCTTTGAGGTCGCCTGCATTCGTTGTTTGAAAAGAAGGGGCCTTCTGTGTTTCTCTCTTGTGCTTTTCTGTTCATCAGGATTCGTAGGTGTTCTCGATATCTTTGTGAGGCTGGTTTGTACGGAAATGCTTGTGGCAAAAAACAGATGCGCAGAGATTGCAAAGGACAAACATCAGGCTGTAGGAATTGTTTACATAGGCTAACGTGTCTGTAATGTTTTAGCAAGATGAGAACAAGACTACCGTGTAGGGGTTCATTCTGCAATAGGGAGAGTATCTTTTCAAGTTACAATTAAGCTGCTCCGCCCAAAGGGAAGCTTCCGGTTTTCTTTACGAGTTCAAAAAGAAGTTGCTCTGCCTTGGCCTGATTGCTTGGAGATCCTTGCATTTCGTTCGAGCCAGATATCCCACGTGAATTTGTCTAAAAAAAAGAATACCCCACGTGAATAGACTGAATAAGGAGTTCCGGACTTCCCCAGGAATCAGATCACGGAGGTTGGAATGGATGGATCCACGAAGAGTAGTGAAGAACATAGTCATGTATAGAATTCAAACAACTCACCGATTTGAATTGTTGTTCAGGGTTTGACATATTCAGACCCCCATCCCAAAGTAAACCTAGACTGCAAAGTGCAAACAGCAGTACTCATCATACAAGCGCCCATTGAGCGTGCATATAAATCTAGCAAAACTTCAACGCATTGTCAGGCACATCATATATCATATACTTAATGACCAAATCATGCAAGTAAGGCTCCACATATTTGATCAAAGGAATAAATCTCAATTGGGAGTACAAATGTTATTCCAATAGCCAATCAAATGTTCAGATATACCCAAGGTAATAAATAGCGTATAGCGGGTTGGTAGCGGAGTGGCGTCTAGGTAGCGGATTGCGGATAGCGGGCAATATTGCGGATGATAAGTTCCAATAGCGGCACTTGGTAATCTCACATAATTTTAAATACATATATCATAAATAATGAGTATAAATAGACATTTAATTGCACTCAAAGAACTGATGTCTCACATATTTAAATTAATAAAACAAGCATGGTGTTCCACGCATTAAATCATCACATTAAGAGTTTGCAAAGAAACATATTATTTGCTTCCACGCTACTGCGGTCTGCTACGTGCAATTGCGGCCCGCAATATCGCTTGCTATTCAGAATTGCGGTCGCAAAGTTCCAGGCTGCAAAGTTCAGAGCGCTACCTCGTAGCGGTCGCGGCAATCTACCGCTATTGCGGCCGCTACCACCGCTATTTATTACCTTGGATATACCTCACACATCAACAGATCAGAAGGCACAACAGTTGATGTTAAATCAGGAACCTAGCTCAGCTGGTAAAAGAACTGACACCACGATTCAGACAGACACATCAAAGAGCCTAGGAGAAAATTGCCATAAATATCTAACTTTATAACTCCACTGCATCAATTACTAAATTGAATCCTTACATCAGGAATTTGCTGCACCCTCTCAGCGCCTTCTTCCAGGCACCATCTCTCTAGCGCATCGCATCCACTTACAGCCGTGAGATGTTTCTTGGCAATATGTCCACTGCACTTATTCTCAGATTTGGAGCACCATCGGTTTCCAGACAATGAAGGGATTCTAGGTTGCACAGGCCTCTGGGAAGAACTGCAAGATCAGCACATTGACGTATCCTTAAAGTCCTGAGAGACTGCATCATCTGCACGGAAAATTGAGTGAGCCTGGGGCAAGAAATTATCTCCAGGGATTCCAGAGCCGAGAGGTTCTCGAAGCAAGAAGGAAATCGTCTTCCAGGGTAATTTTCGATGCGCAGATGCTTAAGGCTGGTATGTGGACAGAGTGCCTCAATGACCGTCTCACTGTTCTCTATGCCCTTCTGCTGCTCGTCCTTGCAGGTGTCCTCACTCCATTTCAGCATCAATTCGCGCAAGTACTCCTTCCCGCGCAAATTGGCCTCCATGACACCATCATTGGTGGCAGCTTCCAAATTAAGAATACAAAGCTCTCCGCGGATCTTCAAATTCTTCAACTCATTAATGTTGCACTTGCCTCCATCCCTGGAGACCACAACAAATCTGGAAAGAGTTTGAAGTGACTGTAACCGGTCAATGCCACTTGGCATTGATCTAAAAGCAGTAACTCTATCCCAATCAATATGTAAACTAAGGTGCCGCAAGTTAACTAATCGGCTCATGCCTTCAGGCAAATCCATGAGCCAATAGCAGTCCCTGAGGTCAAGTGTCTGCAAATTGAATAGGTTGCAGACTGTTTCTGGAAGAGTCTTTATCAGAGTATTCCGAAGATTGAGGTATCTGAGGTGTATACAAAATCCAACAGAATCTGGCAGGAGGTCCAGCTCTGTGTAACTCAGGTCTAGTGCACGCAGACAGGTTAGCTTCGAGAAAAGTGCCGATGGTACCTGATTCAAGGGTAGTTTCGTTGTGGGGCATAATTTCAAGAGCCTTGAATTTTCACAGTGTTTCGACTTGTTTTTTTTTCCGAAGCGAACGGGGCCAATATAGTTGTATAACGAATCCACTCAGGATGCTCAGCTACCGGTGAACTGTCAGGGCTAAGAGTCAGAGATTCATGTTTAGAAACAAGTTGTGCTAGCTCAAGCATCAAACTTGGCACTCTAAACTTTTGATTAGGGAAATTGTGGGAAGTTTCAAAGAATGACCTCCATAGGAGCTCGTCAAAGCATCTTCCAGCTTCCATCTCAACCCTTTTCCTTCCATTACTCTTAACAAGACCGTCAGCTATCCAGAGTCTAACCAGCTCATCCTTCTCAAACTCAACACCAGGAGGAAGTATTGAACAGAAGGCAAAACATTGTTTGAGATGATATGACAAGTGCTGATAACTTATCTGCAAACTTGGTAATATATTGTTTGTGTTTTTGTCATCTTCAAGAATCTGCATACCACCTAGTATGCTTTCCCATCGTTCTTTGTCTCCATGAGTGTCGGACAATAGCACCCCAAGAGATTTAGCAGCCAACGGGGAGCCTTGACAGTTGGCGGCAATCCTCCGCCCAATGGATTCCAGATCTCTGCTGCTCCACCCCAAGAACGCATAGAGTTTGAGGATTTGCCAGCATTCTTCATCTTCCAAGCGCTCTAAATGGATGTTTAGAATGGTGGAACTCATCCTAGACACCCTTTCGTGCTGAGTAGTGATCAGAACCTTGCTTCCGCCCGCTCCACCAGTCAATGAGGGCCTCAGAAATTCCCAGAACTGAAAGCCCTCTGCCCAAAGGTTATCAATCACCAGCAAGAAGTGTTTTTTATGTAGGTGGGCGTGCAGCCGTTGCTGCAATATGTCCAAGCTTAGAAGTTCACATTTTTGACTGGTCACAGCTTCAATGATCATTTTGGTGGCCTTCCTCACATCACACCTATCTGGTAACCAAACCCAGATCTTGTCAGTGAAGAAGTTTTGTACCTCAGGATCTTTGTAAAGTTGTAAACCGACTATGTCAGTGCTGTCTTCCCAACGCCTGCGGTTCCCCAGATGGAAATCACCTCCATTTCTGCACTGTCAGAAACCAGAGCACGGACAATCTTCTCCATCTCTTCGTTGCGGCCAATGGGCCTCTCGTCGCGATGCGCGGCAGATTCAAGGAACCGTGGGCGCTGCATCGGTTGAGCCTCCGTCCTCCTCCCGTCCCCAGCTTGCAACCTGAACCTTTTCCTGCCCCTGTTGATCTCGTCGAGGCGTTCGTTGATCTTGGCGATCTTGTCATCCAGCTCCCACCGCTGCCGCGGGCCGAGCTCGACGCTGGGCCAGAGCCGCTTCCGCTTCCGCGACTGCTCGGCAGCCGCTAGCCTGGACACGGCCGTGATGGTGCCCAGGCGGTCGAGCAGGGCGTCGACGTCGAAGGCGGCGGCCCTGAGCTCCCGGAGCCAGAGCCTGACGGAGTCGTGGTCGACGAAGCGGCGCTGCTCGGCGTCCTCGAGCACGGCGCGGATGCATTCCTTGGTGCGCCGCAGCTTGTCGGCCTCCTACTCGACATTCCACAGGCGGGCGCCCCGGGAGCAGAGAGCGTCGATTACCGCGCCGCCGATTTTATCCGGGAGACCGAGCGCCGTGAAGATGCCCTTCAGCGGTCGGTCCCCCAGCATGTTACTCAGCCGATCCATGGACGACGAGGTGCCGTGAGCCAAGGAGGGGAGTTGACTTGTTCTAGGAACGGAGATCTTGAGCTGTGAAGCGAGCTGGCGAATGAAAACTCTCGCTTCTTGTAGATTGGCCGCGAGTTCTTTGCTCGGGATTGGATGGGAAGTTCAGTGGCCGCTTCCAGGAAGGCTCCCGCTCCCGGGCAAATGAACGAAACGCCTTGCGGCCGGAGTGGGGTGAGGTCGGGCGGGACCCTTACCTGAACGGGCAGTGCTGGCGCCCGACCTCCGACGGACGGTGCCGCGCACGCACTTTCCCAGCGCGCCCCTTCCTTGTTCTGCACCGCACGCTACCAGCACGCTCTCCGACGACGCACGCAAAGAGCGGACCCGCTGATGATATTACGAGGTCAGGGCAGGAGCATGGACAGACGTCGTCACCCTAAGATCGTGCGTCCGCGCGAACTGCAGCTGCAGCGTCTTTCGTCGTTCCTCGAACGAAGAGCCCCGCTAACACCGATGAACCCGCAACCCGCGATGCCTACGAAGAGCCCTCTGCTAGGCTCGTGTCGTCGCGAGTCCGTGACGCCCCAGATCGCTCCGCAGCCCGTCCGTCCCCGGCTCGCCCCTCCCGGCCGAACAACATAGAAAGTTGGAATAAAATACGTGCAACAACACGGAAACAACTATATTGCAACATTAGGTCAAGCGGTTGAAACATCATGAAACATATATATTACAATAAACAAGGAGCAACAGCTGCAACATTGGGATGAAGCAGTTGAAACACCATGAATATACTATTGCAACAACAACGAACAATAGCTGAAACATTAGGTTGAAGCAGCTGAAACACCATGAACATATTATTGCAACAACACCGATCTAACTGCAGCAACAATAGGTTGAAGGAGCTGGAACATTTGGAACATATTATTGCAACACTGGTGTGAAGCATAAGAAACAACGCTCGAAATAAAAACACTTGCAACAACATGGAACAACTATTGCAACATGAGATTGAAGCAATTGAAACATACTACAACATCTTAAGCAGTACTACTGCAACATCGCAAAAACATCTGTTGCAATAACCCAAAAAAAAATTCCATTACAACATTCGAAATCATCTGTTGCAACATAAAAAAACCATTACAACACGGTGAGATCTGACCCCCGAGAGCTCGGCGGAACCCTAGCCACCGCCACATCCCTTAGATCGAAAAGAGGAAGAGGAGGAGGAGGGCTCAGATTCAGAGGAGGAGGTGGAGGAGGAGGACTCAGATCTAGAGAAGGACCCACCTATCTTGCCGGAAGCCGCCGCCATCGTCCTCTTCTCCGGTGGCATGGAGGTCACGGAGGGAGGGAGGGAGGGGCGGCTCGCCGGAAGCCACCATCATCGCCCTCCTCCCCTGTGACATGGAGGTCGCTGAGGGAAGGAGGGAGGGGGGAGGGAGAGAGAGGCAGCTCGTCGGAAGTCGCCGCCGTCGCCCTCCTCTCCGGTGGCATGGGGGTCGCGGAGGGCGCGACGGCGCGGGGAGCGCACGGCTCAGCGCCACGAGCGGCTCGGGAGGGAGCGGCGGCGAGCGTCTCCGTATGGAGCGGGCTAAGTGACGTGGGACAGGTGGATGAGGATAAGGCGAGGGGAGCGAGTGGAGGAGCACGAGCCACGTCCGGAGGTGAAGAAGCGCGTCGGACGCCAGACATGTAGCATTACCGTTACCTGAACTAACTGGTCCCATAGTCGGTGAACGGTGACTTGGTACTTGGCAGCACTGCAGCACGTATGGCACACCGCACACCTCATCCAAAAACTGTGTCCGAATTCGCGCCGGAACGCATGAATAACCGTTGACCCGTGATAGGAAATCAGATGACCTAGAGAGGCAAGCTCTGTTTGTGCGCTTGTACGGACCTACACAGCCATCGCCCTCGCACATCGCCCATCAGATCAGGTATACACAAGAAGCCTATTCCTATTCCGAAACATACACCTGATTGGGTGATTCGGGATCGGCAACAGTTTCCGAGTCGAACCAGGGAACCATCAATTTCCCCGCCACGCCTAGTATACACATGATGCCATCGATCTCGTCCGCTTCCTCGATCCATCATCCGCCCACTCGATCCGTTCAAGCAACATGGATCGTCGTCTTCCCGGCGGCGTGCCGGCGGTACGTCTCGCCAGGCGCTTGCAGCTCGCCACCTTCTTCGCCACAGACTCGACGACACCGTCGTCGAACCGCGGAGGTCGACAACAAGCAGGTTCACGACAACGGCAGCCCCCGCACTGGCGGTGGACGCGAGGATCGTCATCCGGAGGCACTTCCCCGTCGTCGGCCCAGGCTGCACCCGCATCGCTGTGAAAGTGGCTGAGGACATCGCCCTCCGCAGGCGGCCATCGCGCAAACTGCGCGGGCCTGAGAGCGTGGAGAGAGCTCTGGCCGAGGAGGTGCTCCCGCTGGTCGCGCACCCGTTCGACCGCGGCGCCGTGGTCGCGTCCCGGAAGGAGATATGCGCGCACGTGGCCGCGGCCTGCGCCGACCCGCGCAACGCCCGGGCGGCGCCCATGTCCTTGTTCTGATCGATACCTTCGCGTGCCCCGTGGTGTTCCTCCGCCTTCCGCTGCCTCCCAAGCCGATGAAGACTGTTGTTGCCTGTGCGCCGAACAACTTCGTCGTCACGAGTGTCAAACCTTGCATGGACGAACTAGAGAGCGTTGTACCTGTACCGGAAAAGAAGCCCGTCGGCGTCATCGGAGATCGGAAGCCAAAGCCGGTGGTGGAGAGGTACAAAGGTTGGGTACCGTGGTAGGATGGGCGGCTTTTACCTTCTAGGGTACCTCTCGAAACTGGATTTGCATTTGCTAGACGGCTCACTCGTCTGTCCTAACATGCCAGCATGCCCATAGGCAGATGCAGGCACGCAGTTGAAGGGCACTGCCGCTTGTGAGTTGTGACCGCGTGCCTGCGCCCAGGAATTTCCCCCCCTTTTTGAGGGACATGTATTATTGTGAATTAGTAAGAAGTTTTTGAATTATAAACAACCGCTCGCAAGGTTTATGAATAGTGAACGGTCTGAAGTAATTTCGACTAGCTAATTGTATTTATGGAAATTCAGTTTCGTGAATTGCTGCTGGCATCTCGTTGTCAACTTCTTGTCTTGTTTGATACTATATGCGGTCTCCTTATGCTTGTTTTTCCTCGAAGCCCAAACACACAAGGGAACTGCGCAATACATTAACAAGGGATATTATTATGCTCGCACCACGTGAAACTATAGAAAACGATCACTAACCACCAAAATTAAGGGTTTGCTTGGACCAGCGAGGGCTAATATCAATTATGCTGCCTGAGTTCGATGTCGGCTTTTGTTGATCAGAGAGAGTACTATGGGCATGTCATCCTAAAACCCACCCGCTTATCCCCACGTTGCCTACAATCCATAGCTAGTTCCATAGTGCATATCCAGCAATGACAAAGCTAAAGAAAATTGAAGAGATGCATTTGCGTTATAGGTGCATACACTTGTGTTATGAAAAATACATATGTGGTGGAATCTTAGTCAAATAGCTTCGCCCCTGGTAAGTGTATTGATCTCTAGTGACAATGAAAGCTAGTGTGGTACTTCCTATGTTTCTAGACACGGTGTAATTCTAAAATACTGGGGTAAGTCATGTAATTTGGAATTTAACCAAATTTGTATAAAATAATAATTATTATCATACTAAATATGTATCATAGTTTGTTGTGTTGATATTGTTTTCTATAAATTTAGCTAAATTTAAGATAGTTCGACGTTGACCCAATTTAGAACTGCATCCTCTTTTTGAGACAAAGACTTAACTAGAGCCCAGCAAAGTACTACTATATATACCCCATCCATTTTTATACATCTGATATTTAGAGCAAGCTACTTAATTCAAAAAGAGTTCAAAAAGAATTAATTACCATCCTAAATGTCATGTATTTAGAAACAGAGGTGATAGTGATACCGAGTTGTCAGCAGCATATTGACCTATGTAAAAGAAACAAAAGCAGATGAAGATGTCAATGGCTATATCACTACCGGAGACCGGCCAGTTGCCGAGTGTCAGATGGTTTGCCGAGTGTTCTTTTTTGGGCACTCGGCAAATACGTCTTTGCCGAGTGTTTTTTTTACACTCGGTAAAGATGCTCTTTGCCGAGTGTTTTTTTTGACACTTGGTTTTTGACACTCGGCAAAGAGGCTCTTTGCCGAGTGTTTTTTTTGACACTCGGCAAAGAGTCTCTTTGCCGAGTGTTTTTTTACACTCTGCAAAGAAGCTCTTTGCCGAGTGTTATTTTTTTACACTCGGCAAAGAAAATTTCAAAGCACATTTTGAAGCAGTAAATTAATTCAAATGAAAAAGTTTTCAACTACAAAGTTGTATAACTCATCAAGATGTACAATGTTTGTTTTGGTCTTTTCTTCATACGATAAAGTAAAAATAAATTTGTTCACAAATCTAACATATCTCTCTTGTAGTTTATGAAACTATAAGAGAGATATATAAGATTTGTGAATAATGTTAGAATGACCATGTCGGATGAACAGATGATAAAACAACCAAAATAAACTTTGTAGATCTCGAAAAGTTATGAAACTTTGTAATTGACAACTTTTTGATTTGAAAACATCTTGTCATGTAAAACTGCGTTTGAATTTCAAAATTTTAAAATTTGAACTTTTCAAACGACCTCGGATGAAAAAACAACCAAAATAAACTCTGTAGATCTCGAAAAGTTATGAAACATTGTAGTTGACAACTTTTTGATTTGAAAACATCTTGTCATGCAAAACTGTGTTTGAATTTCAAAATTTTAAAATTCAAATTTTGTAAACGACCTCGGATGGAAAAACTTCCTAAACTAAAAGGGTAGATCTCGAAAAGTTATGAAACTTTGTAGTTTACAACTTTTTGATTTGAAAACATCTTGTTATGCAAAACTGTGTTTGAATTTCAAAATTTTAAAATTCAAATTTTGTAAACGCCGGAAAAACTTTCTAAACTAAAAGTGTAGATCTCGAAAAGTTATGAAACTTTGTAGTTTATAACTTTTTTATTTGAATTCGTTTAGGGCCTCAAACATGCAATTTACACTCAGTTTAATATAATATATTGGGAACTAAAACGGAATCCAGACATAAGTGAGAGTGTGCTGTAGTGGTAGAGGAGGTACGTGCATAGCGAGAGGTCTCGGGTTCGAATCGCGTCGGTCGTGTAGCCATGAAATTCACGCGAAAAATGTCATAGATGGGTGGGCGCTGGCCGGTGGGGGCGCCTCCATCGATAAAAAAAATTCCATTTTTTTTTGGTAAAAATTCCCATTTTTTCGGGTTTTTTCGGTTTCAACTTTGCCGAGTGTCGGGCACTCGGCAAAGGCCCGATAAAAAATACTCGGCAAAGTTGGCTTTGCCGTCACTTTTTTTGGCGAGTGCTGAACCATTTGCCGAGTGTTTTAGGTGGTTTGCCGAGTGTTTCGGACACTCAAATTCAAGCAGTCCGGTAGTGTATACCTCTTTTTTTCCGCATGAAAAGCAAACCTGTGCATGTTGAACCCTCATCGAAAGAAATGCGGGTGGGCAAAAACTACAGAAAGACAACAAGAATTATTCAAACTGCTCCATCACCTTGCCCATTACTACTATCATATCAATAATAAATACTCCCTCCTATTCGAAAAAATACAATTCTAATATAGTAAGTCAGATTTTAAGTTTGATCACATTTATATAAAACATGTCAAACCAAATAAGTGCTATTAGATTCGTCTGAGATACATTTCATCATGTTTTATGTTATGAATATAGACACTCAGTTTTATAAACTTTTTTTTAAAAAATTGAACAGAGATAGAGATAGAATTGCATCTTTCCTCAGACGAATGTAGAGTAGATTGTTTAAATACTAGAGTTCTACCTTGATAGCTGGTTGGGGGCGTCATGGCTCACCAGATTAGTGCGTAGCCAACGGACACGACGACCACTACCTCTCGTACAACCATGGTAGCCTGGCGCGGAGGGGAAAGCGAAAGAGGACTGAGGTTCTCTCCCCTTTCTTTGAGGTATTGATTGAGAAATTTTCACATGAAAAAATTAGGGAAAAATAATTAAAAAGACTATCAGTTGGAGCTATGAATTTGTAACTCAACCCTATTTATGCAAGGATAGAAAACAATCTCTTTTCTTAAGCTCCTATAATATACTCATTCGTGCCCTAAATAAATGGATTCCTAGACTTATCTTAAGTCAAACTTTTTAAAAATTTGACCGATTTTTTAGAAAAAAACTGTCGGTGCATAAAGTGACCAACACGTAAATATTTATAGTTTTGCCATACGTTGTGATCGGATGTGGCCTAGCACTCAATGACACAGGGTTTATATTGGTTCAGGCAACATGCCCTACATCCAGTTTGAGTCGGTCGGTGACTTTATTCCTGAGCCCAGGTGCTCGAAGTTTGCTGTGGGGTTACAAACGAGAGGGAGAAAGATGGGGGTGCAAAGGTCTTGGTCGGACTCGGATCAAGGGACCGAGAGTGACGGGAGATCCTACGTGCGCTAAGTATTCGAGCGTGTGCTCTGTGTAGCTTTAGAGTGTCTAAAGCTAACTGAGGGTGAATCGATCGTTGGTTGTTTGAATCGTTCGAGTCCTCGTGTGTGTCTCTTGGAGAGTTGTTGTGAAACCGATCCTCTTTTTTGGAGAGAGGGCGTCCCCTTTTATAGATGAAGGGTATGACCTTTACAAGTGAGGAAGAGTACGTATGCCACTAAGTCTTGTTGCCCACGCCGTCGTGTACAAGATAATTGTAGGTGCCCATAACACTGTTAATGTCAGATGCATGTGGGAGGTTCCGTCGTCTTCTTCTGGTATGGCAGATGCCAGCGCCTACCATATTGTTGATGTCCAGAGGCATGTGGGGGGTTTTACCGTGTTCGCCTGGCATGGGAGTTGACGGCGCCCACAACACTGTAGGGCAAATGTCGGTGCCCACAACATTGCTGGGGCTCTGACATGCCTGGAAGGTGGCAGGGCACCCTTCTGACATGCCCTGTTGGTACTATGTTGCAGGTGTACAGGGTATGGTCCTTGGTATTATGGTTGATTTGAGCGCCCTGCCTTTACTTGCTCCGCTCGTTTCCTGGGTCCTTACTGAGCGGGCGTCCCCGGTCGGTTGGTCCTAGTCGGCTCCGACTACGCCAGTCGGAGAAGAGCTGTAAGCAGAGGTCCGGTGCATCCCCGGTCGGAGACACGGGTCGGAGTCGGAAGCGAGACTCGTTCCTCCTCGGTCAAGCCTTCTGGTCGGAGAGGCGGGTTGGAGTCGGAAGCGAGGCCTTCCGGTCGAAGAGGCAGGTCGAAGTCGGAAACGAGGCTTTTCGGTCGAAGAGGTAGGCCGAAGTCGGAAGAGGGCGTCGTTCCTCCTTGGCTAGGCCTTCCGGTAGGAGATTGGATTGCCTTTCTGGCCTGTTGTTAGGTATTTGGGCCAGCCCAGGAGTTGCGCATCGTTCGCAACGTCGTCTGCTGGGCCAAGCTTTTGCTGAGAAGCAGGT